AAACTAAAAAGGTTGCTTCGGAGTCCCAATCACCAAGTGAGAACAACGAAATGGATGTTGGAAAAGAGGTTGAAATTGAAGAGGAAGAGAGTGACGAGGAAGATGATGAAGTTAGATCACTGGATATCGATGTAGGAAAATGGGTAAGCTTAGACATAAATATACTGTATGGTTGAAGCTTATTGGGGGAAAACTTTCATTTATGCTTGTTATTTAATTAATTTCCTGTTTATGGGGGTTAACTAGTTGAAATTTTTCACTTGTGCTATCTGTCACAAAACGTAAAATGTTTTATAGTTTTTGTCACAAATAATGAATAAGAATAGTGTGTAGCAGCAGCAAGCTAACAAACTTTTGTACTTAAGGTGGCTCGATGCAGTTTTCAAAAACTTCGTGTGTCTAACAGTTTGACAGTGTTAAACGTTGTATATTTAGGTTTTATGTCGCAGATATCAGGACGTTCATCTATGTTGATGTTTCGTCTTTCAAATTATGTCAGTTTTGGTAACACATAGTTCGTTGCTATGGCAACACACGCATACGAAATTCACTCTAAAAAAGCCTATTGCTTTGTGTAGTTGGAAAAAAGCTTGGTGACCCTCAATTTTTTTTCGTGCATCATTTTACTTAGAACATACACTAACAATAAGCAAAATATAAAAAATTCTGTCATGGAAAAATATTTGTATTGAGGAAAATCACATTTTTGCATTTTTCAAAAAACTGGCAGGACAATTTTTTTTTATATTTTGCTTATTGTTGGTGTATGTTCTGAGTAAAATAATGTACGAAAAAAATTTGGGGTCACCAACCTTTTTTCCAACTACACAAAGCAATAGGCTTCTTTAGAGTGAATTTCGTATGTGTGTGTTGCCATAGCAACAAACTATGTGTTATCAAAACTGACATAATTTGAAAGACGGAACATCAAAATAGATGAACATCTTGATATCTGCAGCATAAACCTAAAACTACGACGTTTAACACTGTCAAACTGTTAGACCCCTAAAGTTTTTGAAAACTGCATCGAGCCACCTTAAATAGACTTCTTTGTAACTGTGGCAATTGATACACCAGGCGGAAATTTTAGTTTAAAGAAAAAGAGCAGAGCCCAGCAAATAACTTTAAATCCAAACATAATAAAAGTAAAAAAATTATTAGCTAACGTTTCGTTGTTTACAATACAACATCTTCAGAGCAATCTAAATGAATTTAAAAAACTCATTAATAATTCAGGAGCAAAACACAAAGAAAAATCATAAGCGTGTCGTGGTTTTATATGTGATAAAAAATCACGTTAATCACGTTTAGCTTTGATTTTCTCAGTTTAGTCAAAGTTTATTTTAAAAATTACTTCGCCAATGAACTCGTATAAGTCGTTTTTTAAGTTATTTAATGCACTTGTAGTTGTGTTTTATCACATATAAAGACTCCACTACGCGTCGTGTTTTATATGTGATAAAACACTCCTATGCGTGCTTTAAATAGTACTTCAAACACTCATTAATAATTCATAAGCTTATTGGCAAATCATGATAACTATAATATGTGGCGTGCAGTGGCTTTAAACCTGAAGCTGAAGCTGTGTTATAGTCGGCAAGATCCAGCTCTAAAAACGAAGGATAGCTTTCTAGGTTTATTGTTCCAGGTAGTGGCGAACATATGTTACCAAAACTCAGGGCTGTGATCTTTATATCTTGGCCATTTTTTCCTTGTAGTGTTAATTGGACCAAATCACAGTCTTCAAGAAACCGGCATCACCAAAGGTATTAAGATTTAATGATTCTTTCTTGATGGGTTTCAAACCAAGCTTTTGCTGTAGACCAGTTGTGATGTACGATCTTTGACTTCCAGTATCAATGAGCACTCTGACAGGTAAGACTTCTGATCCTTCATTCGAATATGCATATGTCCTTGCTGTCCGTAACAACACTCTTGCTTGACTTCTTGTCACAGATGTAGTGGTTGTACCATTTGACAATTCATTGACAACAGCTCCAGTCATGGAAGCTTGCCCAGGTTTGTTCTCTGGTGGTTGACTCGATGGGTCCTGTGGTGGTCGACTCGAATTAAATTCAAAGATTGACTGATGATGCTTTCTTGGGCATTTGCGGCATCTATTGGAGGTGCATTGGTTTATTCGATGACCCTTTCTCAAACATAGAAAGCAACGTCCTTGTCTCTTCAAAATATTCTTTCGGCCTTGTGGATCTTTAATCTTCTCACACAAGGCGGAAAAGTGTTCTGCATCACAAAACACACAACGTATATTGCTCCCATTTTGATCTCCTGCGAAAAATGCACCCGTTGTGTGCATTCTCTGTCTTGGCTGAGTACTTGGATCCCTTATCTTCAGATTACTACTCATCTCTCTTGCTTGCACTTCACTTTTCAATACATTCAATACTTCTTCGATTTGCCAAACATCTTTCGTTGTAACTCGAGCGATCTGAAGACGAACATCTGGTGGTAATTTAGACATAATGATGGGTATGAGAAAGCTCCAGTATTTATCAAATGTCACTCCCAAAGACTCCAGACCACGAATATTGACCCCAACCTTATCACATATCAGACGAAGCTCAGCAGGTTTGTATCCTAAACATGTAGGCAGTTGCAAAAGTTCATCCATATGCATTGATATTATATGCTGTGTATTCCCGAAACGTTCTTCAAGAAGATTCAATGCAACATTATAATTTGCCTCAGTTAAAGGCAATCCTTGAATAACTCTAGCAGCTGGACCTTCCAAAAGTCCTTGCAAATAATTAAACTTATCGTTTGGTGAAATGTCTGGGTTCTTATTAACTGAACTGTCAAAACGATCCCAAAATGTTCTAAATTTTGCCATTAAATTTTTGTAGTACCAACTTTGGTAGCTTTGGGGTCACAGTAAAACTGGATGGGTATGATGGGGCCCCCTCTACTGGCTCTACAGAAATACTTGTGGGGTGTTCTTCAGTAGGTAAAGGCACATTCTGCTTGGAAATACTTTCTTGCTGTTCAGCCATGTCCATATTTTGTGTAGGGGGTGCATTTATATTGCCTGACAACGAGGGCTGTGACGTAAATGTGTTCAAACACTCAATCATACCTCTTATTTCTAAAATTCTCGCTCGTATTGCATCAGCATCCTCTATTTCTTTCTCAATTTCTTAAACCTTACACAATGACAACATTTCATCGTCCATCTTCTCAAGTAAGTTGTCTAAAATCTTCAAACGTGAACGATTCAACGTGGTTATCTCGGGGTTTTCAACAATCGACTTCGCTTCTTGTATAAATTTTGTTGTAACTCCACGATGCCCCCTTCTTTTTGCCTTTAAACCATCAATATCTGTCTCACTCATGGTAACGAATACTTCAAAATTCAAACGACAATCAAATTCAAACGAAAACGATGTTTAAACAACGAAAATACGGCCCCATGTTGGGCGCCATGTTATGAATATGTAATTAATTTATTCTAAAACGCGCGAAAATTATACGGGCAATAACAACACAAAATAATCGCGACAAGAATATCGCTTAAACTAATAATCTACGTTACACCCTGGTTTCTAATTCCTGCACGTTTCTAATTCCTGTTGTTTGGACAAGTAAGCGATATCCTTTACGCTTTGAGAGAGATTTTCTGCACTCTTTCTCAAACTTTTGTATGTATCTCCTTATACTTTCATTCTCAGACTTGAGACTAGATACATTAGATTTAAGATTGTCAATATGAAAGGCCCTATGAAAGGCCCTATCGAGAGTTAGAGTTAGTTCAATCGCTTGCTCGATCATTATTAATGATCATATTATATATATATTAAATAGGGTTAACATTGTTGCTGCCGAAGGCAGCACGCCTAATCTTGACATGAAGGTTTTCCAGAGTTCACTCGACCCAGTCTTTTGCGCCGATCTATGTATTGTCGAGATGTCGATCTTGTGTCTGTCCATTAAGATGTTGTAATTTTGGGTTGGAACAGATGGGGGGAGTGCGAGAAAAATATTAAATTGCATGTGCACATATTTATATGCAAACTTTTATTCTGGATCTGACTTGATGCAAAATATACGAACATTTCCCGAATAAACCAGGTAAGTATGGCTTTATTTCTTTATGCTACTATCCATCAAGGCGATCAACTGTCTAGAGTTCATTCTGGAGGCAGGCAATGTACTTTTATGTCGCGAGTTTACGGCGCTTCTTACAGCCCGAAATATTCCCATTGTCTGCATGGTCGTTTAGAACATTTGATGTGTTATAAATACAAGAAGACAAGATACACTTAAGAGCTCTGAAGTATTGAAACAATATGATTTCATGAATTTACCGGCAGTGTCAATAATGCCTTATTTATGAGTCAAAATGTACTCAGTTTATTTGCTTGTTATGTGCCAAGACGATGAGTATAGTGTTCATTTCTAGATGTTTATACTTTAACAACAAACATGGAATGTTGTTAAATTAGGCTTACTGTGATAAGATTCCTATAGCAATCCAGTGTGGATTGTTGTCTGCACACATTAACTTTATACCAGCAATATGATTACATGTAATAGTATGTCAACTGATTTTTGTATAAGATATGAGTGGTGTGTTTATTGTTAGCATAATATGAAATAATCCTACCAGCCTACATTCATATATATTCATCTGGCTGTGTCGACACTACATTTCAGAGTGTATTATATTTTTCGATAATGCTCACAATTAGAAATGTCAACAAATAGATATTGTCTCCCCATCAGCATATTGTTCGGTTGTTCTGTGATATGGGCAGCCTTGAAGGTGGCATTATGGAACAAACCCCAATTTAGTATTTTTCATATAAACATTGTACAGTATTCAGTGGCAAGCTAGCCATGGCAACTGGCCATATGCATGCTATACTGATAATCCTGCATCTATTTGAATAATGCAAATCATTAAAAACTTGCATAGCATGACCTGTTGCTATGGCTAGCTTCACCACTGACAGTATTATAAGTATACAAAAGCAAGAAGTTATAAGCATTGAAGATATTCATATAAAACTGCCCATGCCAAGAAAGTAGCATTAGAACTTTCAGCTGCCATTCGACTTTGTGCAAGATGTTTGATCTTCAAATTGCACTTTTCCTACCTCCTGAACAGGCATCTTAGGGCCTGTTCATATGAGCCCGGTTAACCGAGCTGGCCCGCTTTGCTTTCACATGAGGCGGGCTAGCCCGGCAATCATATCTATTCATAGTAACGATTTACCGCGATATTTTAGCGGGAAAATAAATTTCGTGTTTATTTAGCAAAATGTTATTTTTGTCGACGGCAACAGCTTCAGGAGGTTTAATATCAATAAATACCTATATTTTTGGACATTTTAGACTGTTTATCAGTGGAATAAAGCACACAAATTTCCAGCCCGGCTTGCCGGGCTAGCCCAGTTGTGCATTCATATGAGCCCGGCAAGCCGGGATCTCACTCAAGTGAGATCCCAGCAAACTGGGCTGGCCCACTTCTCATATGAACCCAATCCTAAATTAATATACAAACAATATGTGAGGCGGGATCTTGGCACTTGAAAACCAGGCTGGCTAGCCGGCCAGCCCGGCAGAGCAGGGTTCATATGAACAGCCCCTTAAGGGCTATTTGCATGATGGAAGAAGGGATGAGTTTGATGTATTAAAATATTAGTCACTAGGCTAAACGAAAATTCCAATGTAGAGAAGTAGTTCAAATGTAGAGAAGATCTTGTGGTTCAACTATAATCGATCTCTAGAAAATAGTGAATTTTTTTGCTATCATGCATCAGACTTATTTAAGCACATCAAAATCATCCTGCCTCATATCTCCTAGCAAAGCAGGATCATATAAACAAATTGTGCATGCTGCCTTTAATCAGCAAATTGTGCATGCTGCCTTTAATCCCTTGGGGGTGAGGCAGCACTTTTCTTGCAATAGTAACTTCTACCCCGGTCCCAAAAAAACTATACCCTGTTTGATTTCATGTAACGTAAATACAAGTGTTTCAATAACAAAGTAATTTTCAATCCTACTAAGCACAAAACATGTAGTAGTTGACATCATTGAAAATTAGGCCATTGGATAAAACAGATTCTTTCACTTCAAGTGTAACCTGAAGTTCAGGCCCTAATTTGAAATAGGGCCTGACACAAAACCTGTCTAGACCGTGGGACGCCCACATGTTATTTTTAGACACAACATGCAATATGATTGACAAGTGTCGTAGATTTCGTCACAAAAAATTTATATTCTCATGAACATGTCCGCAGAGT